TCGATGGATTGAACATGAAACTACCGCAAAGACCATCAAACCTAAGCACATAATGACGCAAAAGTAAGGCGAGGAGACTGACAAACAGCAACTATATATGCCCGCAGATATATATGTATATATTGACATATAGCTGAAGACACGGAGCCACGGCCGAGCAGCCAGATTACGCCTGCCCAGTCTCCGTGTCTTCACCAACAGCACAAACTTACACCCACTTGTTTTGGATATGCGGTCAGATATTCCACCGTTGACAAAAGAGGCAACAAATAATCCATTATAATTATTCCCTTGCAAAGCTGATGACGACGACTCAACCTGAAAACCATCATCTATCGGTAGATCGTCAGTTGACAAATGTGACTCTGACCCCCCCGCCACATAGTTATCAATATAGAGTCCACCATCTGGACAATAATAATCACTACTCATCCCAAAACAGTTTGTTAATGTCGGTGAGTTGTTGAAGCATTCCATTGAATTTGAACTCTCCCCTACTTCGAACAAACAATTATAAGGAGGCGGTGCATCTTCATACGACAAACAAATAAACGGCAGCCCGGATCAGTATATGACACGAGTACTCAAAAATTATATATGTAAAAAAATTTCAATTATAAGAAAGTTCAGTACCTAGTTCTTGAAAATTGATACCATGAAGATCCACATTAGGATTGGTAAAACTGTCGGGTGATGTAGTTGCCACGAGCATCGGGTATCCAACAATTACTGGGTCACAAACTGAAACCCACTCGTTTATGTTTTTATAAGCATGCTGCTTCAGTTCTTCGACCACCCTCTGTTTAATAAATATGTAAGTGTGTCACATACTGAAACCCACCGACGTATCATTAAATAATGACCTTGATTAGTAATATATCAGGCTAATCAAGTCTATCAAACAAGGATTAGAGATATTAATATTAAATGATACATTTCACGAATAGTGTAACTTCAGGTTGGGGCGACTATTCAATATGGTATGAAAATCAGGCCAAATGAAAGGTCCTGAGCTCGAATCTCACAGCAAGTGCAAGGCTATAGAAATGTAATTCACATGCACTTGACGGTGCTTATTCGATATTAATATTAAATGATACATTCCATCAAATGATGCCTTTAGGAATATAATGTAATCTTTTACTAGCACGAAAAGAGTATAGAGGGTAAAGATAGATAGGTACCAACTGATAAGGGTTGAGACTCTCCATGGAATGGTAATCTTGGCCGTCAAAAGTGACTCCAATAACATTATATATGGAGTTGAAGAAAAGCCCCGTCCCGGTTGCAGTCCTGAACACGTATTTCTTATCGTCTAAAGAACAAGTTGTAGCATGTCTGAAGATTGTCTCCCATGTTTTGTTAGACACTTGAAGTATCTACAAACCATGTATTCACAATATATGGTCAAATATTTCAATCGTGGAAATTTTATTATTATATCAAAATGAATCGAGAAAACAAGTCTCTTACCTTGCGTAGTTGGTACTTGTCTGTAGCGTAGAGCCTCAAGAAATCGCCTACGGAGAATATTCCAGAGAGAGTCAGCTTTTTATGGGACGGACCATCTCTAGCAATCTTCTCCAATCGCCATACTTGGTCGTCAAGGGATGGTGGGTAATGCTTCTTGTAAGCTGAAACAATTCATCATTATCAATACTCATTGCTGAATTACCATCTCAACCAAAAGTTTAAACCGTTAATGAAATGTAGAATTTAATACTAATATACATATCAAAAAAAAAAGGAAAAACTTACACTCCCCGCGATGATCTTTGACTTTGAAGGGAGTGCTCATTGCTTCTCTAATGTCGACTTGATCGGAATTAGTATGCACTTTGGCTCCCAAGCGAAATCGACCACTTCTAATCCAGCTCGAATTATCGGTGAAGATTAAATCACTTAAGTAACCGACTCCACCTTGCAAAGTGAGTTTCACTTGTCCGGTAACTAATGGTCTTTTGCCTTCTCTGTTCATAACAATTTTGCTATCGAACTCCTCCTTCGTCCAATCATTAGCAGCTCCAAAATCACCATCAACAACAACAATGGTAACTTTGAGTGAAGATAGGGGCCCACACGTTATTATTTCGTTGGAGTTTGAATCGTACATCACAAGTTTCACAGGGCTTTCGTTCCGGGACATGATTTTATTGCCCGTAAAAAGGGTGTGTGGTAAACTGCTATCAAATAGCAGTTGCAAATTCCTTGATCCAGAACTGTCCACTTGGTCATGATCATATGAGGGTCTACAACAAACATATATCCGATTAGATTAATTATTTAATCCACATTATATTAATTAATGAAAGCCTGGTTGAAGATCCTAAAACCAAAAAAAAAAGAATCCAAATACCTAAAAAAGGAAAGACGGACCTCAGATTTTTTTCGAGTGATCGCTCCACTGCCTCCTGCACCTATCGACACAAGGACAATATAATAATAAATACGAGGATTCAAAAAAAGACATATAATGACAAATTAGTGGGATAAGTTTGCACGTTTTTCACTTTTGGTCCCCATTTACCAACGAAATACAGACTAATGTTGTCACATTTTAACTTAGTCCCTCTGTTTGTTTGACCGTTCAGAAGTAACGGTCAACGGTTGAATTTGGGGTTTTTTTTTGAGAAATTGCAATAAGACCCCCGTATTCTTTCAAAATATTCTAAAAACCCCTAATTTTTTTTATCTAACCATAATTTAACCCCAAGTTCATCAATTAACAAATTTTGACAAACGACCCCGATTTTTAGCACCATTACTGCTGACTGTTGACTGCCGTTGATTTTTTTTTTTATACTTTTTTTTACGGCAATAACTTTTTTTTAATACCGTTTTTACGCCGTTCACCGACATTCAACCATAATTCAACCATAATACAGGGGTTTTATTGCAATTTCTCAAAGAAAAACCCCAAATTCAACCATAATTCAACCGTTGACCGTTAGTTCTTAACGGTCAAACATACGGAGGGACTAAATGTTTTAAAATGTGACAACATTAGTGTGTATTTTGTTGACGGCGGTAAATGGGGGACCAAAAGTGAAAAACGTGCAAACTTGGGAGACCAAAACTGTAATTATTCCCAATTTAGAGCTTTCCGAAAATAAATCAGAACAAATAATATTTACATTTTTAGACATCATATATGTGAATTGATATCGAGTAAAAGTATGGTGAATAACAACTTTAACAAACAAACTGTTTTTATTCTTTCTAATATATGCTAATTGCCAAATAAAGAAAGGTTTATTATTTATTTAATTATTGATTCCTATTGCAAGCATGACAACATATATAGACCGAAATTAATCAATAAAATAAATACATACCCATTTTCTAATCATGGGTTCCAAGTAAGATACAGATTCTTGCAGAGTTCGACCATAATTGAGGCCTTTGCATATACTGCACAAAAATCCAATGAACAAAATTAGTTTTAATAATTACTATTTAAATTTAAAAACAGAAAAAAAAGAAAAAAGAAGAAGAAGAGCAAAAGAAATCAAGTACTCTGAAACAAACCGACGGCGTTTAGCAGGATCGGAACAATCCTCATCACCCTTCTGCCTAAGTTGTCGTTTCAGTACCATCAAACAGACAAAAAATTTCACAATCTATAAAAAACTATTCAAAGGGGTTCGGGAAAAAAAAAACCAAAGACAGGTAGGTAGCCTAAAACTATGAGCCGCCAATTGATATAAATAGAAGCAGTTAGTTATCATTCGGGGGAAACTACCTCGGCAACTTCATTGTAAGAATAAATAAACACAATGCTCAAACAAGTCAAGCAAATTTGTTTATTAGTTTATTTATGTATTTAACTCACAAACATTCATTGTGTGTCTTTATGTAGTACTCTATGGTGAGGTTTTTGCTTTGGTATTCAATGCTCTTGGATCGACTATTTTTTTAGGGTAAATTACACTCACATCCCTGAGGTATGCTTAAATAACATTAAGGTCCCTGTGGTATCGATAATTACACTCACCCCCTTGAAACGTAGTTATAAACTCTAATGGGATAATGCATTGGATACGTTATTACGATAGAGTTCTAACGAACTATTAGTTTCAGGAAGTGGTGGAGACAACAAATAGTTATGGGTAATTTAAGAAATATTGGGGGAGCCATGTCACCCCATTACTCCTCATAACTCTATGTTATCTCCATCACTAGCTAAAAGTAATAGTCCATTAGAACTCTATCGGAATTATGTATCCAATGCATTATCCCGTTAGAGTTTATAACTACGTTTCAGGGGGGTGAGTGTAATTATCGATACCATAGGGACACGGGCAGTTATTTAAGCATACCTCAGGGGTGTGGGT